TTCTGGATCAGGTCGCAGGACAAAAATGGGAAGCCCAACAAGCCCGATGTCAACCTATACAATCACTATTTGAGGGCTAATCTGATGCTCGAGCTTCCTGTGAAGGATTTGATTACCTTAGTGCATCATATGGAGGATTTCGGGCTTCTGCCCAACGCAGCATCTCAAAATTTAATCTTGAAGGCCATGTACCAGTCAAAAGATCCGGCTGCATACGTAGAAGCAGCTCAACAGTTGATAGAAAGGTTCGTATCAGATTAAGTTTATTGCCTGTTGTAAGATGCTACTATTTTGTTTTCCTTTTTACAGTATTAAACTATTTATAAATATCTTTTTTCTTTTTTCTGCATTACATTATTAGGAAGTTATATCGTATTGGTAGAGACTGAAACCTTTAATTTAAATAAGGCCTGCTATCTATGATTGGCTGAAGTTTTATATCATAGAGCTGAAAACTCGAGACTTCAATTACAGCCGACCCATCAGAGTCACACAAGTTGGCGTCTGGGGGTGGGGGTGTTGTTGTTGGGTGTGGAGACTTTACCCAAACTTAAAGCCATAGACAGTCTTTTACAAAAGACCGAGGTGAGTATTCTTTCGTGTAAACAAGTACAAAATTGTGAGCTCCATAAAAGTTTTACCACAATATTTTGGGATGAATAATGATTTGTTTTTTATAAAGTGTATGAGAAACAATCTCCAAGGTTTAACATTTTATGACGATAAGACTTGTACATGTATGGTACTTCACTTACAATATTTGCAATGCATTTCTTTAGTTATCTAAGATATGAGTTGTGTTTTCATTTCATAAAAAATGAAAGACACTCAGACTCTAAGGAGTATAAAATTGTAATTTATTTGATACTTGATTCACAGACTCTTTTCCTCTAACTTCAAAGAATACCAATACAGATCATATGCAATAGTCATGGTATTTTGAGGTGTGCTAGTTGTGGGAGTCCACAGCTAGGTGGTCTGTTGTCATGGAAAGGCACAATGGATCTGTACACCCCAGAGCTGACAGATGATCAAATCATTTTGAAGCCAACATGGATGCCTTGGACACTGGTCTTTTATTGTTATGGTTATACTCCCTACATTTATCCTTCTGAGTGAGATGCCTGGTGGGCCTATGAAGACTATTTTGAGTTTAGACTTGATAATGTGTTCATTTATTTTCTTGGAAATATGTTTTATATTTTTTTTGTTTGAGGTATGCTTAATTTATTATGCATTTACTAGGATGCTCGAGACTGGAAGGGAGAACAAAGATTCTTTGCCTGACGACGAGTCCTTTGACTTGGTTATTGACTTGCATTTTAGAGCAAATCAGGCAGATGCTGCCTTTAAGTATGTTGATTTTGTCTTAAAGTCGGGGTACACTATGTCATTAAATGTATTCAACCAGTGCATACGGAGATGTATTGAAGGAAACAGGCTAGATATGTTGGTATCAATCATAGAGAGATGCAAGGTACATGCTTTTGCATATCGCAATGCAACCACTTTTAGCTGTTGGAGAAATGAATTATATAAGCTGACACTTCACTTTTGGGTGCTTTCAGAAAACCGAACAGAACAAAAAGGTGATCCCATCCTGGAACTTATGCAACCAATTGGCAGATCACGCAATAAAGGCAGATAACAGTGAACTAACCTTTTCCGCACTGGACTTCTTTGTGAAGTGGATTGTTAGAGGACAAAATGTTAGGCCCCCCGTTTTACTTTCTGTAGATGAAGGAATGATAGTAGCTGCACTTGGAACTGCTGGTAGAAACTTTTCTCCTAAACTTTTGACAGGTTCTTGGGAAGTCCTAAAGCGATCGCTACGTGAGTCAAGGGCTCCTAGTCCTGAAGCTTACCTTGCTAAGATCAATGCCCATGCTTTGATGGGTCAGTTGCAGAATGCTTTTGCATCACTGCATGAATTTGAGAAAGCCTATGGAAAGTCCATAGATGGCGAAAGGGAGGAATTGTTTTCACCTTTTACCTCTTTGCAGCCACTCGTTCTTGCTTGCTGCACCAATGGGTTTGCAACTTTGGATACTGTATGTTCTCTGCTTTTTTCTCATGAATTATTGATTGATGAGATGATTAGTGAAGTTCTTTTCCTTCAGTTTTTAGAAGTTGAAATAAATGTTGCAGTTGTTTACATATGAAACAGAATATAAGCTTCTGGAGAGAATATATCCAAATAGTGTATGCCTGTATGGATGTTAGCATGAATGTGTGTGTCTGTGTGTTGTGCTTAAATGAACCTGAAGCTACGTTCAATATCTTGCTTATGCTTTAGCCATTGCTTGTTTCTGCTTATCATTTTCTTGGTGCATCTGTAATTCACAGGTTTACTATCAACTGGAGAATTTAAGCCGTGCTGAAATCCCTTATAAGTCTGTTGCTGCCCTAAACTGTGTCATTTTAGGATGTGCCAATATATGGGATATCGACCGTGCTTATCAGACTTTCACAGCAATTGATTCCTCATTTGGCCTGACACCTGATATCCATTCATACAATGCTTTGATACATGCTTTTGGGAAGCTAGGGAAGGTAATTGTCCAAGTTGACAGCTGGAATTGCTAGTCGATTCTGCTTCTGGTCATTTTGTTTCTAGCATTAGGTTGAATAGAGAGCATTTGACACTGGTTAATGGTTGATCTGCTTCATTTTAAGACATCATTAACTTATTAGATGTTAAGGGGTTGATTATTTGTTTTTCATCTTAAAAAAAACTATTTTCTGCCTTCGTTAGTGGTTACAGTTTTTCTCTCTTGTTCCCTAGAAAAATGTCAATTTTTTCCCTTGAAATTTCATATAAGGTATTTTTAATGGACTTTGTCATTTTACGTGTTTCATTAAATATATAATGTGACAGAGTGATGATGCAACAAAGGTGTATGAACACTTCACTGGATTAGGAGTGAAGCCAAATGCTACAACGTATTCACTACTTGTCGATGCTCACCTCATTAAGCGAGACCTAAAGACAGCCTTATCCCTTGTTGATGAAATGGTGATTTTTTATGTTCCTGAAAATTTACTGCTGTAATTAAAAATGTGGTAATTAATACTCCAAGCTTCATGTGCAGGTGCAGGCAGAGCATATTCCGACAAGAGAAATGCTAAAGAAGATCCGAAGGCGATGCACGAGAGAGATGGACTACGAAGCTGATGACAAGGTGGAATCAATCGCCAAACAGTTAAATATTCCATTGGGTTCTGAGACACGCCGGAACTTGCTGTTTGAGCTTCAGTACAGTGGTTAGAGAGCATGCATGGAAATGACGGTACAGTCCTCAAGCAATTTAGGAGATTGCTGCAGATTTGCTCTATATTTTGCTTCCAAGGGAGTGCTGAATTATATAATCGCCTTCCGAATCATCGATAAGGCACCAATACCTACTCATATTTGATAGTTTTGTGTAGCAAAGTGCCCTTCCATTCTTTTTCAGTTCTTCACTTAGTTTTTTTGCACTATATATTTCATGGCACATCAAGCCATTGATCTTATTATTGCTCTTCTGTTTTTCTCCCTTGGTTTATGTTTTTGTAAATTATTAATAATGAGTTTCTGGGTATTTTGTTTTACTCGCCCATCTTTTAAGGAGTACATTTCTTAAATTATCATTTTTAACAAGTCTGTACTGAACGATTCTAACTTTTCAATGTGGTTTTTAGCCATTGTGTGTTCTTTTAATTCGTTTTCTCTTTATAATCAACCTGGGTTTGCGAGCTTGCTAGTTAAGGTGAATCGATCAGTAAAAAAATTAGGCTATAGTTTTTAAGAATGAATTATTTGAAGTATTTGTGGGAGGATAATCTTGTCTTGAAATTATTTACGGAGCTAATGAAGTAATGCTTATAGCTCATTTTGTTCAATGTTAATTGAATTTTGAAATGCTTGTTGGAAAATTTGTTAATGTCAATCTAAGTAGTGAATAATATGTATTCAGCATTTAAGTATAATATTCACTTCATCAATTTTTTGAGTGTTTTTTTACATTTATAAGTTACTTCGCATAAGTTAGTCAAAATCACTCATAGTTTATTGTATTTTTAATTTATAATGTCAATTACTCTCCCCGTCCCAATTTAAAATATTTGTTTTGGTTTACGATGTTTCACTGAAGTTATTTTTAAATCATTTCATATGAAAAATTTTGTAGAATTAAAAAATAAAAGTTACATATTTAAAAATAATATAAAAAAACTTACAAAACTAGCGGTGGCATGAATATACTCCGTATAATTTTATCAAATAACTAAAAAAAGGAAAAGAAAGTGAATGATGTTTGACCCTGTGAACAATAAATATAAAATTTAATTTGGGACGGAGGGAGTATCTTCTATATTTTATACTCTGTATATGTTAGTTATGTTGGTTATTTAATACTGTAAAACAATATGGTAATGTTATCACTTGGTTAATACATGATTAAAATATTTGATACTCCATACAATTTTAAAAGGGAAAAAGAAATTACTTTAAATAGGAGATAAAATATTAAAATAGAAATTTCATTTTTCAGTCTCAAAATAAGAGTTTGCATTGTAATAATGTGACACTAGTGTATACAGACATTTCACAATACTTTTTGTTGTTATATCTTGACATGATTTACATTGTATATGCAGCCTTTAATTGGCTAAAGGACTTCGCGTAAATTTTTCGTTGCAGTTTTTTTGTTTATTATCTTTCAACAAACGTGACTGACTATTATGGGTGAGCAAGTTCCGAACCGATGTCGAAAATTTCTGAAAAAACTGAGATTACCAAACTGAAAAATACCAAACCCATAAAATACCGAAAAAAACTGCATCGTACCGAACCGAATAGTCAGTCCGGCATTTGGGATCGATTCGATACTTCGGATTGAGATCAGTACAATGTAAAATCGCATATCAAACCGAAATATTTAGTACAATATCAGTACGAACCAAATACCGTACCGCGCTAACCCCTAGTGAGTGTCCCTTGTCTTTTACTATCTCCTGAACACTGGGGTCTAGCTTAATTTCACCAAAAAAGTTCCAACTGGAAAATGGTATAACTCCTAATCGCATCAGGATTTAGGAAAGGAGTCAAACGACTAACCTCTTTCCTCTTCCTAATTGCATCAGGATTTAGGAAACCTCTTTTCATCCACTCGGGATACATAAGCACGTACGAGATGAGTCCACTGTAATTGCATGAGAATCAATCACTGCAATCTTTCTGTAATGGCTTCTTCTTCTTCCTCTCCCCTGCTGATGCTTTCACTGAATCAACAAACAACATTCATAAGCCCAGACAAGAACACCATCTTCACCAACCCTGCAACAAACATCCCCAAAACCACCACCACTGTCGGTTCCTCCCATGGATGGCTCATCCTCCTCTCCCACCAAACCTCCCAACTCTCCCTCCTCAACCCCTCCGACCAATCCCAAATCCCTCTCCCCGACACATCCTCCTTCCCTCTTCTCTCCATCCGAAAAGCCGTCCTCTCCGCGAATCCCAGCACCAACAAAGACTTCGTCGTCTTCGTTCTGCACGGCGAGAATCCGCGAATCGCGTGCTGCAGGAACGGGGACAAGCAGTGGAGGAAAATCCGGGGCGGGCCCCACTACGACGTTTCTTGCTCGACCGGTTCCGTGTTCGCCTTGGGGGTCAACGCATCCGTCCAGCGGTGGGATTCGTCTAATTTGAGGAAAAGGGGAATTCTCCGGCCGTCGTACCCCACAGGGCTGCTCCAAGCCAGGGAGGACTTCCCTGAGGACCTCTACGCGACAAAGTGGTACTTGGTTCCCTGTAAATCCGGGGAGATGTTTTTCGTTGTGAGGTACATCGGCGAGTTTGTGACTCGGGACGGGAGAGCCGTGTACGAAGAGGCAATGCACGAAGGAGACGAGACGGTAGGGACGGTGTGTCCGTACAAAACGATGGGGTTCCGTGTTTTTCGGAGAGAACTGAGGACGGAAACGTGGGAGGAAGTGAAATCTTTGGACGGTCGGGTGCTGTTTCTCGGGGGGAACCACTCGGTTTCCTTGTTTGGGTCGGAGCATCCGAATTGCAGACCGGGTTGCATCTACTTCACGGACGATTATTGGGATCGGATCGACCGGGAGGATTGCCCCTATGGAGGCCATGACATGGGAGTCTTCTCCTTGAGAGATGGGAGTTTTCAACAGTTTCTTGATTTTGAGTTGCAGAAATTTTCACCACCTCCCATTTGGATCCTTCCCTCCTGAATCTAGTTAATCTGTTATTGTTACCTTATTGATTCAAATTTTGTTTTATAGCAGTTTGTAATTAAAGCCCCAACCCATGAAAAATAGCTTGAACTTATATGCATAGATCAATGAGATATATGTGTAATTGTAAGAGGGCTATGATTCAACATGAGAATAAAACTTTGCGTTCTTGAGGTAAAAGAAAGTAAAAAACCAAGTAAATAAAGAATGAAAATAAATGGCGGGAACTGTCTGATTTGGATAACTTCTGCATAATCCAGTTTTTCACCATTAACGGCTCTGCCAGTTCAAAAAAAGAAAAGGGGAAGATGTAAATTTCACTTGAATATTAGCAGCAGAAAAAGGAGTCACAGTTTGTTAAGTTAAAAAACTCACTTCTGGTTCTGGCTCAGCTGCTTTTGGAGCAGTTGTTTCTTCCCCTTTGGAGTTCTCTTCCCCTGTACACACAGTAAATAAAACCAAACCATTTACTTTTTCCCAATTAACTAAACATTTCTTTGTGTTTGTTTATAGTGTTACGGACTCGATTAGAATGTAGTGTCTCTTCATCAACATTTAACCGAGTACTCGTATTTGTTAAGTAACCTGCATTGCATAAAGGTTTGCACTACTTATGGAGTGGTATGAAGGGATACCTCCATCTTCTGGCATATCAGAAGTCCATAGGGTAAGGTTGTCTCTCAACAGTTGCATGATTAAGGTACTGTCCTTATAAGACTCCTCATTCAAAGTGTCCAACTCCGCAATCGCTTCATCAAACGCCTGCTTCGCCAAGTGACACGCCCTGCATGCACCCGCGAGTTGTTGTTTATACATACATTCAAAAGACAATGTGGGGAAGAAGAATTGCCAATTATTATTGTCAAGAAAAGAAAAAAAACCCAATGAACTCTAATTAAGGAAACCTTTCTGGGGAGTTCATAATCTCATAGTAGAAAACAGAGAAGTTGAGAGCGAGTCCAAGGCGAATGGGATGGGTAGACGCAAGTTCTGCACTAGCGATGGATGAAGCTGCCTGCAGATCCAAGAAAAGTTAAGGGATGGGCATCTTAATATGATCGAGCAATAAAAAACAATAAAGATTAATGAATGGATGATTGCCTCATAGCCCTTGAGTGATTGATCAGCAGCCTCTTTCTTTTCTTGCTCACTCTTGAACTCTGCCAGATACCTGAAATAATCACCTTTCCTGCAAATACCAATCACAACAATTCTAAACTTTCAAACAAATACTCGACGGAGGCTTAGAATCAGCAAAAGACACGCAGCGAATTCTATCATTCTAAGATTCGCAGTCAGCGATGAGAGGAATGGATGAATACCTAACTCTCAAAATAAGTCACTCATTGCTTTTTATACCAAAATACGACTAATAATGCCAAATAACGCCAACCAGAAAACAATGTAAAAAGGCATTTCACAGTACAAACACTCAAAATTCCACAATTTAGAATGAATTAGGGAGGTTTCAACATGTAAATTGGAGGCAATGAGGGGAAGAAATCAAATCAACATACATCTTGTAGTAGAAGACGGTGGCTTCTCCAGATTTGGAAGAAGGGATCAAGTGCTGGTCAAGGATCTGGAGGATCTGCTGGCAGATGTTGGAGAGTTCGTCCTCTACCTTGTCGCGGTACCCTTTGATGAGCCTCACGTTGGTCTCGTTCCCCTTCGACTCCTCCTTCTGCTCTATGGAGGACATGATTCTCCAGGAAGCTCTCCTCGCTCCGATCACGTTCTTGTAACCCACCGACAGCAAATTCCTCTCCTCCACCGTCAGCTCCTCCCCCAATTTCGCCACATTCTTCATGTACTCCACCATTTCTGCGAAAGGATCGTCAATTCAGAAATAACAATCGAAATCAAAATCAAAATCAAAATTGAGAGAAAGGGATGTGATGAATGACCTTCGTAGCGTTCGGCTTGCTCGGAAAGCTTGGCCATGTAAACGTGAGTTTCCCTCTCCTTTTCGGACGCCATGGTAAGGGTTGATTGGTTCTAGCTTGGAGGGGAATGAGAAAAAAAATACAGAGTAATTGGTAGAGGATTGAAATGGAAAGGGTTGAGAGAGAGAGAGAGAGAGGGAGAGGGGGGAGGGGAATGAATGCGGCGGGAGAATAGGAATAACGGAATAAGTGTGTGTATGGAAATGGAATGGGGATTCGTAAACGGAAGAGAGAGTCACAGAGAATGAGTCGGCTAAATTCTCGATATAGTACTCCCGATTCCATTTAGTGAGATGTAACACTATTATTCTTTGTTTATCTAGTTTGATTTTTTCGAATTAAAATGATGAATTTTGTGTTTTAATTAAACAAAAATAATAATGTGTTTGAACATAAAAATGAATTTGTTAGATAAATCTTTTTAAGAAGTTTTAAAATTTAATTTTATTGTACTAATATTCAACGCAAATTGAGAGTAATTAATGTTCAAAATTTATTTAATCTGACTCAAAAATATCAAATTGGACAAACAAACATTGAGATGGAGGGAGTAGCATTTTTTTGATATGGATGAAGTTTTTTTTCAAAATAAGATTATTTTAATTAGATCTTGTAACTAGGGGTGTTCATCGGGTCAAACTCGGACCGGGACCGGACCGGGACCGAATAAGGGGCATTTGGTGGACCGAGGACCGGACCGATTAAGCTAAGGACCGGCCCGGGACCGGATCGAATAAATGTTATTTTTAATTTTTTTTTTAAATTTGATTTTATTTGTTTAATTTAAAGTATTCAATTGAATAAAAATATTACTACAACTAATTTTTAATTGTAACATACTCTAAACATTGTCAAACACATTTGTTTTGAATTTTTAAAAAAACTTTAAACAAAATATATATCTTCCATCCGTATTACATACAATTTTTTCGTAATTTTTATTTTACATAGAGAATATTCTACTTCTTCGTTCATTTTTGCTTTTTTGTAATATTTTTTTGAGTTTTTGATTTTTTTGACAAACGGATACATTTTTTACTAGTTTTGTTCATGAGATTGTTTACAATGTTTGTTTTTGCGGATTATCGTTTCATTATTGATAAAGTACAAATTTAAGTGATAGTATTGGTATATAAATTTGAAATGCATTAGATCGCTAATATAAAGGTAATGTTTACTTTTTCATACTTTTCATATTTAAAATATATAAAAATCATTAGAATTGGTATCTTATTTTGAATTGAAAATGTATTTAAAAAATTATATTAAATAATAAAATCAAAACATTTTAAAAAAATTTAGTATTAAAGTTAAACTAATTTTAGGCATAAGAAAAAACCTTAAAAAATACAATATTATAATACTATATAGAAAAAAAATATTTTAAAAAAATAAAATGTAACCGGTCCACCGGTCCGGACCGAAACCTGGTGGACCGGACCGGACCGGACCGGAACCCGAATAAGGAAAAATTGAGGACCGAAGACCGGACCGAATAAGGACCGGTCCGGACCGGTCCGGTCCGGTTTTGGCCGGGTTTCGGGTCGGTCCGGGTTCGGACCGAATAATGCACACCCCTACTTGTAACTTAAAACTGAAATTAATATTATACTCCCTCCGTTCTAAAACCACCTTTCCGGTTTGACCGGAGGTGGTTTTTAAGAGAGTGTAAAAATTGAGTTGACCTTCCTAAAATGCCCCTCAAAACCTTCTTTCTCCCTCTTGACACTGGACCAAAACATGCCTAATCCGAACCAAAAACACTGGCGATGTTGTCTTCTTTCAATACACATAGAGGCATGGTTCTAAAACAAAATCAAAAATCAAAATTGCAGCTAAACACATTTAAATAAAATAAATTATGAAATTGGTCCAAGCAACGAGATAAAGGCGGGGATCTGCTCCCTCTTCACCGGATTTGAAACGGAGTGGCGACGGCGACGGCGACGGTGGAGTGGCGACGGTGGCTGCAATCTCTCTATGCGCGGCGAGGTCTGATCGGCGATGGTGGCAGTCTCTCTGTGCGCAACGAGATGAAGGCAGATTTGGGGGATCTGCTCTCTCTTCACCGTTTACTTAGATCTGGATATTAAGATAGAGAGAAAAGAAGAAGATTAGATATAGATTTTGAGGGGGGGGGGGAGAGACGGAGGAGAGAAGCGGCTGAGAGTGAAGAGAGATGAGAGTGATGATTGACAGATCCAGTAGGTTGAGAGAGTTGAGGGAGGGATAAAATAGTCAATTCATACAATTTTTTAAGAAGTGGGAAGGTAGTTTTAGGACGGAGAAAAAAGGGAAGTGGGAAGATGGTTTTAGGACGGAAGGAGTATTTTTAACCTAAGATCTAATCAAAAACTTAATTTTTTATGTCTAATATTCCCCCTAATGCTCAAAGTTTCCCCAATTCTTTTTCATTTTCCCTCTTTAATGTTATCACTTTTCTTACGCTATCATTCAGTTCATTTCTCAATTCTTACTCATCTTCAACTCTCAAACCTAATTTCTTTTAACTGATACTTCACATTATTTTCCAAATATTTTATTACCTTTAATTTTCTTAATAGCAAAATAGTTGGCACACTTTATTCATCTCATATTTTATATGTATAACTTTTGTTCAATTTTTAATTATAATAAATTAAGGCATGTGATTTTATACTGTAATTTTTTGAAAGATGCTAATCCATTTAATGAGGAAATGAGTAGGTAATGTAACTAGTTCAAATGGAAAAATAAAGGTAAAATTTGAAAAATATAGTATGCTTATTGTAAGGCAAACACAATTTCAGATTTTTTCAGGTTTAATTCTAATCGGTTTTGGATATTATCAGCTTCGAGTTTATTTGGTTCGGATATAATTGATTTTAGATTTTAATCGGATATAAATTATTTTGTTTAGTTCTAGTTCCAATTAGATCATTTTGAATTTTCGGTGATAGATCGAATTTTCATTTTTTGAATTCTTTCAATATGGTTTAGGATAATTGTATTAGGATAGTCGCCACTCTAGCTAAACCCATGTTCTTGGGTGCTTTACTTTTTTCGTTTTGTTAAACTCAGGGCTGGCGGGCCAAAAAATTAAGGGGCCCAATTTTTCTTTTTAATAGGAGTATTATATATATATAAGAAGCCCAGGCCCAATCCATCCTCTTCTCTTGGACTCGGAGAGAGTGAGACGCACGAAAGAACCGGAAGGCAGTGACGACGGAGCTGACGGAAGAACCGAAGAAGACAGAACTCAGATACGCCGCCGCCGCCGGACGCACCGCCGGACGCCGACCCTCAAGCTCCAGCGTCCAGGTATTCCGTATTTCCATAATTACTTCATTTTTTTCATTGTTTCATTCTTTAGATTTAAAATCTAGGGTTAATTATTAATTTTTAATTTGAAATTCTTGTTAATTGCTATGAAATAGAGTGAATTAATTGTTCTATGAATGATTTGGATGAATTGATTTAAATTTATTATATATTTGTATATAAAAAACTGAAAACTAAAAAATTAAAAACTGAAAAATTGATGATTTGATATGAATATTGGAAGGCCAATCATCCATTCATGATGATATAATAGGGATCAAGATTTACTAAATGAATTAAGATAGCATGTAAAATGTTCTGCAATTTCAATGAGTTAAGACGCTTTCACTCGCGTAGTTGCAATGTTTCATCACAGAGGGTTTCTTAGTGATACCCAAATGTGTTATACTAGTCATTAAATCATGTACATACATGGATGAAGTGCAAAAATGTCTTTAGAAACAATATATTTCATTCTAAACATTGGCATTTTATTTACTTACAGTTTATTTAAGTTGTGTTATTCATTTATTTATTCCAAACAATGGAATTCTGCTCCCTCCGTCCCGAATTCAAGTTCTACAATTTCAAAAAATGTGAAATTGAGTGGTTGAGAGTTATGCAGGGGATAGCCAAATGATGTATTGGCGGTAATAGCTATCGAGAATGAAATCTTAGAGAGCACAGACTGTGAAGATGTGATCAACCAATTTGCTCTCAAGATTGCAAGGAGAACTTCTCGAATCCTTGGCTAGCTTTTACAGTATGTAATTATTATACTTTAATTCTGTCATTTATTTTTTTCTTCTAATAATATTTCGTTAATTATAATTTAAATATAATTAGTTTACATATGTTAATTTGTTAGACCAGTAAGGATAAAACTTTTAGGGCCTTTTTTTTCTGTTTCGGCCCAGGTCGATGAATCCTCAGACCGGCCCTGTGTTAAACCCATAGATTCCTGTCAAATTTGGATTTCAAATTTGGATTTCCCACCAACATGTGGAGACATACGGCAAGCAAGTCTTTCATATCTCTGCTCCCTCTATGCCGCCGGCGACTCCTCCACCGAACATCAACCACAGCTACCACCGTCTCCCCTTCCAAATCAACCCCTCCCAACCCAACCACAGCCGTCGACGAAGCCAAAATCCTCCGAGTCTCCACGATTCTCTACCAGCAACAACACTCCGGCGAGAGACTCCACAACAGCCTTCGCAAGACGCCCTTCGAACTCACCCACGAGTTATTCCTCCAGGTCTGCAACAGGTTCCCCTACTCATGGAGACCCGTTTACAAGCTTCACGAGTTTGCCATGACCCGACCCGAATTCTCGCACACACCCGTTACCCTCAACAGGGTGCTCGATATAATAGGGAAGTCGAGGAACATTGACCTCTTCTGGGAATTCCTCCAGGAGATCGGAAGCCGCCGCTCAGTAACCCCGAAAACGTATGTGATCGCGTTGAAAACCCTAGCTTTGGCTAGAGAATTGAAGAAATGCGTTGAAGTTTTTCACATGATGAACCGGTTCGGGTACGGGTATAGTGTGGATTCTTTGAACAAGGCAGTGGAGGCTCTGTGCAGGGGTAAGCTAGTGGCGGAAGCTAAGCATGTGGTGATGAAGTTGAAAGATTGGATAGAACCCAATGTGGTGACTTATAGATGGCTAATCTATGGCTTTTGCGATGTGGGTGATACAATTGAGGCATCCAAGATCTGGAATGTAATGATTGATGCAGGTTTTGAGGCAGATATCGAGTCAATCGAGGCGATGATGGAGCGGCTGTTCAAGAACAACGAATATGGGCAGGCATTGAAGCTTCTACAGTCCATGAGAACAAGCAGGATGGATGATTTGGGGTTGCCTACTTACAGGCTTGTGATCAATTGGCTGTGCAAGAAAGGCAAGATTGAGGAGAGCTATGTGTTGGTTGAGGAAATGCTCAAGAGAGGGATTGAGCTGGACAATTCAACATCAGCTTCAATAATCTACGGGCTCCTTTGCAAACGAAGGGTGATGGAGGCTTATCGGGTGCTGGGTGGGATCGAGAAGCCAGATATAGCAGTGTTTCATGGGATGATCAAAGGGCTGCTGAGGCTGAAAAGGCCAGGTGAAGCAACACATGTGTTTAGGGAGATGATTGCTAGAGGTTGCGAGCCTATAATGCACACTTACATTATGTTGTTGCAGGGTCACTTGGGGAAGAGAGGGAGGAAAGAGCGGGACCCAATAGTTAACTTTGACACCATTTTTGTGGGAGGTTTGGTTAAGGCAGGGAAGATGTTGGAGGCGACGAAATATGCAGAGAGACTGACGTTCCAGAAGGTTGAGGTTCCGAGGTTTGATTACAACAAGTTTTTGCACTGCTACTCGAATGAGGAAGGGGAGGTTATGTTTGAGGCGATGGCCAAGAAACTGAGAGAGGTCGGTTCCATTGATTTAGCCGATATATTTCAAAGGTATGGAGAGAAAATGGCAACCCGAGAAAAGAGAAGGATCAGACCTGTTGAATCATTAATACAGTCCGAAGATGGGGCAGTCTGAAGAAAGAAGTCATAGGATGGCTCTCTGGGAAGATAAGAAACAGAACTGGTTTTGGATCCCATGTTTACAAAATGAAGGTATTTAAATTGGCAGATACTTCCAGACTGGAAGCTTTGCACTCTTTAAGTTTGCACCTTAGTCTTAGGCATTTATATTATGAATTGTTTTGTGTATCTTAGAATATGGCAAAAAAAAAAAAACCCCGACCTTAGCGACGCACAAGAAAGTCCATTCTTTATGATATGCATGAATCATGATTGATCAGAGATATAATTTCAAAACCAGTAACGTGCGATAATTTGAAAGGGTAGATGAATTTGAAGGAATAAGGGATGGGGATGGGCTCTCTTGAAAGCTCTTTAATTTTATAGCTTCATGTGTATGGTCTATGGCTTGCACCAATTAGCCTCCTCATCCTTGCACTATATAAGCATTGTTATGGCTTTTCTCACCCTTCATCATCATCCATCCTTTAAGTATGGCTGCTAAACATCAACTCATTTTTCTCTGTCTTTCTTTGTCTATATTTCTCTTCATGATCGCCTCCCAAGTTGCTGCTGCTAGCCCGGAACAAGCTGACACCGCACCTTCACAGCCCGATTGTAAGTTCTATTTCACTTCCCTCCTCAATACACAGATGTGTGTGTGTTCATGCTATACCTTATTTTTTATTTTTGAAATTAATTATAGCAGCAAAGGAAGCGGGCGATGATAAGAATAAGAATGAGGGTGATGAGAAGTGTGTGGACAATGGATTTGCCGGCGTTGGAGTTAGGTACGGAAGTCACCCCGGGGTGGGAGGTGGGGCCCGCCTTCCGGACACGTACGGAGGAAGGGTGTGTGCATGGGGTTGCTGCCACCGGATCCGCCGAATCCACGGAGGAGGATGCCTAAGGTGTTGTCACTACAAGGGTGAGGCAATGGATGATGCCACTGCTCAACCAAATACCCATGGCTAAAATAGTCTAATACCCCTTTTACCCACAGCCACAATATGTTCAATCCAAAGCCAGGCATATCTATAAATATACATGTAATTATAAATTATGGTTATGCCAAACCACAGCAGCAACCCTTATAATTTGGTATGCATGCATAATAGTAATAATAATAATAATAATAATAATAATAATAATAATAATAATAATAATAATAATAATAATAATAATATGTATATGTATATGTACTTATAAGATGTGTCTTAATTCACTGTGTTGTATCATTGTATGACACTATGAAATTATTATTCTTATTATGAATAAAATTAAAGCAGGGTTTTAATTGCCCGTGTGCTGGTGGGTGTCCAACGTATCTAAAATGGAGCGAATTTATCTTCTTTAACTAATCTACGAAGCATAGTTTTCAGAACCGTACCAAAGACCGAACCGGTTAAGATACTGATTCACTGGTTTACTAGTTGAACCAGTGGTTCAACAGGTCGAACCGGTGGTTTAAGCATATTTTAAGCATAGTTTAAGCTCAGATTTTGAGATAATGCATTTTCAAAGAATTTTGGTGCATTTCGACATGACGCATTTTCAAACCATTTTGGTACATCTAATTTTGATGTAATCCTGGCCCTTAGATTTCACAATCTAAAGCACTAGATTCATTTTTATTTCTTTCATAAGATTGCATTCTTACCAGAACATATATATATATATATATATATATATATATATATATATATATATATATATATATATATATATATATATAAACATATAAATTTTACCAACAATAGGATGTTCGGAGACGTCAACCCAAGCCGACGCCAACAACGATCCGGCATCCACTTTTGAAATGATCGTGCCGCATCGGTCATCGGCTTGTCGCCTTGTGACTCTTTGGGTGTGCACTTTTTGCTTCCGGTTGGTGCACTTGGTTCTGGTTGAGTCTCCGGAACCAACTCCAGGTCCTCGAGGTTCACCGAGGTTTGCGTTTCAAAAAATGACGGACTATTCCCGTACGTTTGGAAGAGCAACATCGCATACTCGTTTGGCTCGAGACCGGCCGGAGAGGAACCCGAGGGATTAATGATAAAAATAAATAAAATACTTGAATAGAAATTTTCTAAAGAAAGATGATAGATAGAGTTTGTATTTGTCTTGAATTTTTGAAAATTTGATTGAATTTATAGAGAAGGAAAGTGGAAGAAAGAGGGAGAAAAATAACTTTTTTATTTCTAACGGCTATATAGACGTTGAAAGGGAGGGGGCAGCGTGCGTCAAACATTTGACGTAGCCTCGGTATAACGCACGAGGGGATGGTGTTTAACGTCGGACCGGCGTTAAAAGGCCGGTGACGCCCCACGGCGTTATTAACATTTACGTTGCAGTGTTTCATTAATTGATGTATCATTTCAAAAGTCATATCTCTTCAATTTTGAATCTATAAAATTGTGAAATTTGCATTAAATAAGACTAAAACATACTCCCTCCGTCCCTAAATAGATTACAATTTTTTTTCTCTCCTTTCGATAACTTTTGTTTGTTTACGCGATTTCATTAATTATTTGATAAAATAAAATATTCTTGTCACCTCTTGTTTTTTAGAACTTTTAACGTAGTTTTTTAATATGTAACTTTTATATCTTATTGATATACCAATTTGTATATAAAATGATTTCAAAAAGTAGGAAATTTTACTCCGTAACCCGCAATTTGTAATCAAATTGGGGACGGAGGGATTAAGTCATTTCCCAATTTAGGGGCTGTTTGTTTCAGCCTCTTAATGGTTCAGATGTCTGAATAGTTCAGCACTTAATGGTTCAGACTGTTCAGCCTCTTAATGGTTCAGATATCTGAATGGTTAAGAGATTTGCCTCTGAATGGTTAAGTATTATACAAAGTCTGAATGGTTAAGACCTCTTATCTGAATTGATCAGACATTTGCCTCTGAATAGTTAAGCAATATACTAGCTCTTAATGGTTCAGACCTCTTACTGGTTCAGCACTTAATGGTTCAGACCTCTTACTGGTTCAGCACTTACCGATTCAGAAGTTGCCAAACAGCCCCTTAGACTTAAACTTTTTTATTCTCTAAATAAGACTTAATAATGTCTAGTGGGAGGAATAATGTCCAATAATGATGGACATTTACTTGAATAATGATTAATTGATAATGACCAAAGGTCCTACATTGGGAAATAAAAACATATGGTCCTATATTGGGAAAGTTATTATGTTTTAGTCCTATTTAGGTAAATTTCTCGTGTGGACAAATTTACATTAGTAAGACTGTAAGAGTTATAAGTTTTGTAGGAGTGGTAAAGGAGCATATTTAGGCCTACCCATTTCATACCTCCCACCGTGGTTTTGTTGAATTAGCATATTTTTACCTACGTGACTTTAGCTGGTAATTAAAGTAAAATGTTAGGGGCTGTTTGGCAACTTCTGAATCAGTAAGTGCTGAACCAGTAAGAGGTCTGAACCATTAAGTGCTGAACCAGTAAGAAGTCTGAACCATTAAGAGCTAATATATTGCTTAAATATTCAGAGGCAAATGTCTGATCAATTCAGATAAGAGATCTTAACCATTCAGACATCTGAACTATTAAGAGGCTGAAACAAACAGTCTGAACCATTAAGTGCTGAACCATTCAGACATCAGAACCATTAAGAGGCTGAAACAAACAGCCCCTTAGTCTCAAAAGGATATATAAACAGAAATTAACTCTTAAAATAAACACGATGCTATAAAAAGACCTAGGTCTAATCTCGCGAGTGGTCAAAGTTTATTTTTTTATATAAACAAATTAAATTTATTTTTTTAAATTTAATATTTTTTCGATCCTTTTTTTCTTAAAAAAGGGTTATGGTAGCAAGTGAAGAAAAGAAACTCATACTACCTTCGTCCAAGTATATTTGTCCAGTTTGACTTTTTCGAGTCAAACTCGACAAACTTTAATGTCCAATTACTCTCAATTTGTATTGCATATTAGCATAATAAAATATAATTTTGAAAGTTCTCAATACGATAAATCCAATAAAATCATTTTTATGTTAAAATATATTACAGTTTTTATTTAATTAAAACTCAAAATTTGTCCAATTTGACTTGAAAAAGTCAAACTGGACAAATACACTGGGACGGAAAGAGTAAGTCACAATGTCCCCTCAGAAACAAAGTTTTCAAAAACATCATAAGTTTACTATTTTTGTATTAAATTTTCACTATTTAAATATTTTAGACTATTTTATTCTTGAAATTTAATTCACAAATCATAAGTTTGTAATATTTGTGATCATTTTATTTGGACGGAGTCGAGTATCAATACAGAAAAAGACTAAAGTAGGAGTAAAACATTAAACATATATACCAAAATAGAATTCATTCCATGAGTTTATTTTCGAAATATAAGTTAAAATATATTTGCAATGCTAATCATGATCATGTACATTACTAAAAAGTATTTTAAAGGGGAATCTCCATGAACAATGTCATATTTTTTTAGCTTATAAGTCAGCTTATAAGCATACGAAAACATGTCATCAGCTGACTCATAAGTTGAAAACGATTTATAAGCAGTTTCAACCAGCTCATAAACACATATAAACACCCACTAAATTTGATTCGGTGAAAATAAAATAAATATTTTGAAAAATAAAGATGAAAAAGAAAAGAATACTTGGAACCGAAAATATAGGGAGAATAGTAATGCTCTTAGGGAGTAGTTTGTTACTTACTCCCTCCGTCCATTAATTAACTTCCCGGTTTGACCGGGCACGCATTTTAATGCATGATAAAAATTGTATTGACTTTCCTAATATACCCTTAACATGCCTACTACCCCTTATGCTTCTCCACCAACGTGAGTCATCACCTCTCACTGCCAACGCTACCGCCGACGACTCTCCGGCACTGCCGACAACGATTCTCTGGCATCGCCACCGACGACTCTCCAGCACCATCGCTGATGACCTCTCTTGCTCTGGTTGCCACCATCCCCTCCACAATCCCCACCCAAGTAAATTTGTTCTGGATCTTCTTATGGAAGACAACACATCAGAAAAAGAGTAGATGCGCAATGTTTTAATGGCGGAAAAATAGCGGATCTAAGATTTTGACTGAGGCGGAAAAGAAAATTTTGCAAATCGAACATGGGGGCATCAGAGAATTTTAGATCTGTACAGTCCATGTTAGCAATGTCCGAAGAGGATTGGATCTGAAAGCCGCCTCGCTGCTCCACCATTACTTTCGATCGCCGCCTCACTCCCAATCAACGGGTGGCAGGCCAAAATCAGAAGGGGAAAGAAGAAGAAAAGATAAAAGAAGATGAAGAAGAAGAAAAAAGAAGATGATGACGATATAGTGGTGGGGACTGGTGGCTGGACAAAATCGTGAGAGAAGAAAAGAAAGGGGGAAGAAGAAAAGAAAGAAGAAGAAGAAGAAGAAAAAAGAAGAAGAAGAAGAAGAAGAAGAAGAAGAAGAAGAAGAAAAAAGAAGAAGAAAAAAGAAGAAGAGAAAGGAAGCAGGTGGCGATGGATTGGTTGGTGGAGAGAAGAAAGATGGAGAAGATAAGGATGGGATGGTGGTGCGGCTGAGAATGAAGAAGTAAAATAGGGGAGGGTAATAAAGTCATTTGATATAAAAAAAGTTGCCAAAAATAGTAATGGGAAGATAATTTGTGGACGGACGAAAAAGGAAAGTGAGAAGTTTATTTATGGACGGAGGGAGTATATTTTAGAAAAAAAGATGAGCCCCATCCCTGAGCACTTCTTCAAATTCGAACGGACGGTCATTCATAGAAGGTAAATTGGATTTTAATTGCAGATGTATGGTAGAGAGTAACCAAAGTCTGATACTTAACATAGTTATCTCTAGCACAATTGACAGAATTCAAACTCATATTTATTCTTGATACTTTTCAGAAAAGAAGTGGGTATGTACTATGTAGTCCAACCCCATGCCATCACTCAAAAAGCCCAAAGCCCCAAATAAAAACATTCTTTATTTTCCCACGCATATATATATATATATATATATATATATTCGTCTCCCCCACGTCTTTCTTTCCTTCTTCCCATTCCCCCCACCCAAAACGCGCACTTATCCAATCCATTTCTTCCCATTCTTCCCAACGGAATCCATCCATCCACCCCATCAAATCCAATCAGTATAATAATGTTGGAAAGGAAAGGGCGGCGCAATGTTATTAATAATGTGTCCTTCTCCCGGCGGCCGGCAATAGTACTGGTGGTGGTCTGCTGCCTTGCCTTTGGGCCGCTCCGGACCACCGGCGCCGCCGCTCAACCACCGAACATTAGCAGAGCAAGTTTTCCCGATGGATTTGTTTTTGGAACTGCTTCTTCTGCTTACCAGGTTTAATTTGTTAGTTACGACTAATTACATCCAAATCTCATTTCTCGTTTAAGGCTTTATTTATTTACATCCAATGCACTTTTTTAATTCATTTTATCTTGTAATTTGTATATTAAAAAATTATAAAAATTATATATTAATAATCTATATGTTAAGACAAATCAAACAAGATCACACATGACTATATTTAGGCTTACACATTGAGAGAATTTGGTGAATCAAAGTGCCTAGATGAACAGTTCCAAAAGTCAAAAGTGGACAAAAATTGGGGAACGGAGGGAGTATAATATTTTTCATTAATCTTTTGGATTATTTTTTAAATAATAACCCTGGGAATAGCTAAAGCCCTTTATACTTTCGTTTTAAGATTGTGAAATACTTCGTAGCTGATAGCATTTAGCTTTAAGGCTTTCAAAATTGATCTGAATTATTAAAAAATTATCTAAAATATTAATATTAATCGAAAATGTTACTTTGAAACATGTCTCAAATATAATGTTAATGTTAAGCTTCTTTATGACTCAAATTTATGGGGAGTTTTTCACTTGTGTGTTTGTGTGGGGAACAAAATTGTACTCCCCTCCGTCAAAAATTTGCGCCCTTTAAAGTCATTTCCATTTCTATTAAAAAACCACTCTTACCCATTACTTTTTCATACTTTACACATCAGATCATACTTTTTTTCTAATAATCTACACATCACATCCTACTTTTACCATCACATCAAGAGTATTTTTGGAAAGTCAACACAAAATTATCCCTCCTTATTTTACCACTTTAGTCAAACCGTCCCAATCTTTATGGGACGGAGGGAGTATAAGGAAAGAAATGATGACACGAATATTAGGATTAATTATTACATCATCTACGGAGTATTATTTATCTAGTTTTAATTTTTTGTAGTCAACAAAAATCTATTTTTAGTCTATGACTAAATAAAGAATACATACATATTTCAGATTATTTTTCCAGTTTTGACTTTTTGAAGTCAATCCAAGATCTTTTGGCCCGGTAGCCAAAGAACGTGCAAAACTCCGTACTTATTGAATTTATTTTTTAGCAAATGGGCATAGGAATAAAAATGTAATTTACATATTTAAAAATTACATAAAAAATTTTGTGAAACAAGTGATGACATGAATATTTTATTTTACCAAATAATCAATAAAAACATGAAAACAGATAAAAAAATTATCGAAAAGTTGAATAGAAATTGTGTAATCTATTTTGGGACTGGAAGAAAATACAAAACAGTAATGTGTAATTGTGTACAACAACAATAGATCGTGAAACTCAACGAGAAAAAGGAAACAAAAATTTAATGTGTGAATGCAAAGTTGGAGCCGGCCACAAGTCAAATTGCGTTTACATACAGCGCAGGACAGGGCCTCTTTGCCTTCCTTTCTACTTTAGAATTTTCTTTTCCATTGGATTTTCACCCTATTTTCAACTTGGATCTTTTAACATTTTTATTTGTAGATATATGTATTCTGTAATTTTTTAATCTCTATAAACCCTCCGTCTCAAATTAAATTTCACAATTGACTTTAGAAGGAAGTGTCAGGATAAAAGAAGATCGTGATTGAAATTTTTTGGTGAGAGAAGAAAGATTGCGAGACACGAATATTCAATTCCTTAAAAAGCGGGTGAAATCCTATCTTATATATATACTCCCTCCGTCCGGAAATGTTATTCCCATTTGACATTTTACGGTCTCCAAGATGGCACTTTGACCACTAATATCTTTATTTATACATGGATATATTTTATAAAAATTTAATATTTGAAAACTATATTTCAAAATGAATATATTCATATTAAAGTTATATCATAATACAATGTATTTTTTCCACATATCATAGTCAAAGTTTATAAATTTTGACCAAGAAAAGTCAAATGGAAAGAATATTTCTGGACGGAGGGAGTATGTAAAGTGGAGTTCATTTGTTGTAGTGTTGACATGCCACGTGTGCATCCACATGTGCACCCACTAATGAGGTGGACATATGCATTTCAATTCATTGGTCCATTTAGATTTTTTTAAAAGATCTTTGAATACATTTGTATAAAACTTTTTCATTCTTTAATAATTCTATAAATATATATTTCACTATTGTAAAATATACTCCATATTATATATATATATATATATATATATATATATATATATATATATATATATAATTATTTTTATACTATCCACACCTTATTTTAGCTTACTACTTTTCAAAAAATGATTATATAAATTTAATCATGTATGCATATTTATTAATTAAATACTTTGTTTCAAATATTTTATCTTATTAAATTACTTATTTTATTGCTACATATATTTTTTAACAAAGTAAATAAAATAAAATTGGTTTAATTAAAGGGTGACAACTGACAAGTGACATTATGACACACATACAATCTCTAATGATGTATCATTAGGTAATTAATCCAACTGTTATTAAAATGTTTTATTAATTAAAACTATTTTTATTAGTACTTAATTCAATGACCATTAATTTTGTAGAATTTGTTTGTTTCAAAATTAACATACCAATATATATTCCACTAGTTTAAAACATATTTTGTCACTATTAGAAAACTAAAACAACTAAAATTATATTTATAGAATCTCAAAAATTTAGAATATATACGCGCTCGTGCGAAGCACGGGGTTAACACTAGTATGTTTTTATAAATATCTTTCCAACAAGATGAATATTAGAGCATTTCATAAAATAAAATAGATTTTATTTAAAGCAAATTAAATATAAATAACACAGAGTATTAATCAATTACTATTATAAACTGAAACACTCTCTTCTTTTGGGGCATGGAGAGTATTGAATAATTAATGACCAACCATCTTACTTTAATATAGATGGATTTTTATAGTAGTAGTGTTTAGTTATTCCACTTTCAATAAAGAATAAAGCTAGGTGTTCACCACTTTCTTTACATTATTTTGTACCCCTAAAGTTTTGAACTTACATAAAATGATTAAAAAAAATCGTCCTAACATTTTATACAAGTGTTGGCCATCTAAAAATAATGTACAGCTAACATGGTCCTTTATCAATAAATGTTCCAATTAAGAAATTCACTCAATGTGATGTACGGACATGCCTACTCAAAACGACCCACCAAGTTCACATTAAATTGCATCTATATACTCCTACTATTGCCTAATATTGCTTGTGTCCTTCACACATAAAAAAAGAAAAGAAATTCGGTCCCCTATCCTTCTCAAGATGGGTCAGATAATTATGTATTCCACCCATCATTTCTAAATTAGTCTCTATTATGACTTTTTAAGTACTTTTTTGATATTATAACATAATTTTGTCACCTCTTGTTTTGTTAAACTTTTGACGCAAATTTTAAATATGTAAGTCTTATTTTTAATTTCTATATTAATTGTAAATAAAATGAATTATTAAAACTTAAAAATTCATTTCGTTTTACACTGCACTTTTACGTAAAGTGTAAAACATTTTGGGACGGATGGAGTATAAATAAATCATTAAAGGTAAGTGTGCACCATGAGAATGTTGCAAAATTGGATACATGAACTAATAGTCAGTCTAGTTTGGGACTGGGCTGTCACATGACGATCTTTAATTTAACACATGATTTGTGTGCAGTATGAAGGTGCTGTGAAGGAAGATGGAAGGGGGCAATCCATATGGGACACCTTTGCTCATACATTTGGTATCTTATGAATTTCAAATTTTCTTTCTAACCCATCCTCTTGAACTTCATATATATGTTGGAGCCTTAATCTTGATTTTGTTTTCCTTTTAAATGTTGGGATAGGATTCAAGATTTGATAAGAATCACTTGACTAGGCTATAAGACACCTCGGTGTAATCATACTGATGTATTGAATTAATCGGCTCTCTCTGAAATGTACAAGAACTTGCTTTGATATTATGATAGAATTCGGGTTTGTGTAGGAGTCACAACTAGACTAAGATTTATAGGCAAAACCGGTATACGGAGAAGAAGATTAGATTCAATTGCTAAGCTAGTTTAACTCAAGATCATAAGATAAATGTAAAATCTGTATTTTTTTCAATGATCAATACTAAACTATATACATCACTGCAATGCCTAATTTTGCAGGAAAAATAGCTGATTTCAGTAATGCTGATGTTGCTTTAGATCAGTATCATCGCTACGAAGTAAGTATTTTCTCTGCGTAATGGATTTTATTTTTTATTTGCTTGAATACTTTTCACATTCTATCTTTCCTGCTAGTTCCTGAATTAGAATTAATCAATGAAATTATCATTTCCTTGCAAGCTCTCTAATTTGTTTCACTTTTAACTCATCACAAACAGGAGGATGTCAAACTTATGAGTGACATGGGAATGGATGCCTATAGATTTTCTATTTCTTGGCCAAGAATTTTCCCCAGTATGTAGAACCCTATGTTCAATGTATAACCCAAATACAGAAACTTACAGAATGTTAATTTGAAATCTTTTTTTTTCTCTTTGGGGGTGTGTGGCTTACCATGTTTAGATGGAGTTGGAGAAATCAATCAGGCTGGGGTTGATCACTACAACAAGCTCATCAATGCTTTACTTGCAAAGGGTGATTTTTATTTTTTTATTTTTTTGTATGAACTAAAGCATTTTTCTTCATTAAAATTGTCTGCAATTATTTGCGCAAATAAAAGTCTGCACTTTTTTTTTTTTTTTGAATTTCAAAATCTTGGGTATGCAGGAATTAAACCATATGTGACTCTTTACCATTGGGACCTTCCTCAAGCACTAGAAGACAGATACAATGGCTGGCTCAGCCCACAAATCATGTAAATATTAAAGTTTCACAACAAAACTATATATATTTGCATTCACATGCATCATGAGTATGGATTCAATTCCAAGTATAACTCACTCTCTACAAAAAAAACTTGTAGAAATGATTTTGCAGCATATGCAGAGACTTGTTTCCAGAAATTCGGTGACCGGGTGGATCATTGGATAACCATCAATGAGCCACACACCATTTCTGTCCAGGGGTATGATGTGGGCCTTCAGGCACCCGGGCGGTGCTCCATATTCCCTCGTTTCATCTGCAAGGCGGGGAACTCTTCAACTGAGCCTTACATTGTGGCTCACAACTTGATCCTTGCCCATGCCACCGCAACCGATATCTACAAAAGGAAATATCAGGTTCAAGATCTAAATCAATCAAAATCTCAAACTTGTAGTTATATGCCCGCGAAAGGTTTTATACTCTATAAGGTGTTCAAACTCAGGATGTCTGGGTCAACAAGGTTTTGATGGAACCATGTTAAGGAAACTTGTGGTCACAAGCTTAGGAATAGTTTCCTAGTCTAAGATTGTGATATCATGCTCTCTTTTGTTGCAGCCAAGACAACAAGGAAAGATTGCGATTTCATTGGACAGTTTCTGGTATGAACCCCTAACGAACTCTGCTCAAGACATTGAAGCCCGACAAGTAACACTTGACTTTAAATTAGGCTGGTAATTCGTCCTCACACATGTTGCATTTCAAGGTTTCTCTGACATTTATGAATGTTTTTTTTCCTTGACACTGTAAAAACATAACGGTTTGATTGGGTTCAGGTTTCTTGAGCCTCTAATCAAGGGGGACTACCCTAGCTCGATGAAGAGCAGGGTAGGGGATCGGCTGCCTCAGTTTTCTGCAGCTCAATCTGCCCTTGTGAAGGGCTCTTATGACTTCATCGGTGTAAATCACTACACAACATGGTACGCGAGCAAAAACAAAACCAACATTCTCGAAATGCTCCTCCACGACTTCATTGCTGACGCTGGCTCTCTTACTCTCCGTATGTGCACTACATCGTTTCTCACAAAAAAAACATTTTTTTTAAAATTTTTTATATTTGTTCCATGTGGACGACGTTGTGTTGTTTTTGTTCTTTTTTCCACAGCATTCAAAGGCCTGAAACCAATAGCAGATAAGGTAATAATATCATGGGCTCATGGCCAATAGAATTTCATTAACAATAACTAACGACGACAATGTTATTCTCAAAGGGTATAATGGTAATTTGCAGGCGAGTTCGATATGGTTGTACATAGTCCCTCATGGAATGAGAAGCTTACTGAACTACATTAAGGATAACTATGGGAACCCTCTAGTGATGATCACTGAAAACGGTAGTAATTCTCTCTATATCATTACCAAGAACAAACCTTGTAAATCTTTCGACTACAGCTTGTTAAAAAGATCCAAGAATGAATGTAGGGATGGATGATGCGAAAGGGGACGGGGTAAAAGACGATAAGAGAATCAAGTACCACAATGACTATCTGACCAACTTGTTGGATGCAATCAAGTGAGTAATTTCAGTACATTTATATCTGCTTTGTACAACAGATCAAAAGAGCAATGGGTTTTTTTTGTTGATAATTGGGTTGGAAATGGATGCTGCAGAGATGGGTGCAATGTGAAAGGGTATTTTGCCTGGTCATTATTGGATAACTGGGAATGGAGTGCTGGGTTTTCTTCAAGATTTGGTCTTTATTATGTTGACTATAAACACAACCTGACAAGAATTCCTAAGGACTCTGTCAACTGGTTCAAGAATTTCCTGCATGCTTGATTCTTTATTAATTATTACTACAGCAAGGGTATGATTGTAAACCCCACCCAAGAAGATAATTAGGATGATTTCAATCCTTTTCACATTCAAGATTTTCTATGTAAAAGAAGAACTATTGGTTGTTATTCTATATCCATTCCCTTTATTATTCATACAAAATTTCCTTTATTCCTTTATCCATTGTCTGACCCTTGTAGTTTAGATCATTACTTTTTAAACTCTATATATATACATATGCTTTTTACTCATCCCCTCAACTTAATGTTAGTTGGATCTTAGATATAGATACATATGCTTTCTTTATACAAATAGAGATTAGTATGTATAATCTCATAGCAAGCTGTGCTAGGATTAACCCAATTAATGAAATAGCTTAATCAGCTCTGCTCCATCATATCTGCTACATACTTAGCCTATATATTAGTTTATACAGAGAGATTAATATTAGTATAATCTCATTTCCATAGCAAGCAAGCTAGCTAGCTAGCATCTTCTTCTTCTTTGGAAGCTCCGTTAGCACCAGTATTAAAAGAAACTGCATGCCTCGCCCAAGGTAAGCTTTACATTATATTTTTCATGGTCTTCTATCGAACATTTTGAACGTTAAAGCATATATTCGTACATGCATAAACAAATATTATCAAACTATAATACTTGAAACTACAAAATAGATTTTTAAAAGTGAAATTTGCTATTATGAAAGATTATATATCTGCAAGGCATTTTTTGAAATTTTCATTAACTCTTAGAGTATTTTTTATACTTTACATTAACTCAAATAATCATACGTTATGTTAAATACTACTATTTGGTAACTTTTATATATTTAACTCTAGATTAAGGCATTTTAATCTAAGGAATTTTTTTACTATAGTTCTTCAAAAAAAAATCTTATCATACAATACATGGGTATGACTGTACCTTCATACGGAGTTTTACGGAGTAAAAGTAAAAGTTTTCACTTGTTTCGCATTCCAGGCGGCACCATATCCCCAAGCAGGCCTTCATCGGGTGGTGGCGGGTCATGGCCCAATAAGAACGAATCCGGATTGGGCTCCCCATTGTCACTACTATTACTGTCGGGCCGGTTCTGATGCGACAACATGCCCAGAGAGGACGGCCCATCTTGAGGGAATTGTTGGTGGAGCCCAGTTGGGAGGTAGAACTGCGAGTTCAACGTGTATGGGTGGCCCACATATCCCGCCGCCGGGTCGCCCATAAATCCTCCGGCGGCGCCGCATCTGGGGTACCCCACGGCGTGGTGGCAGTGTTGCCCTTCGTACGTTGTGATCACAACCGTCGGGTCTTCCGATGACCGCTCCACTCTTTTCTTCACGGTGCATTTTGTATTCGTGCAACGGTAGTAACTTCTGAGTCCAAATAATAATAAAAGTTAAAAAGGTCAAAACTGGACAAATAGTTGGGTAAAAAAACGAAAGCCGACCTGGGAAAGGGGCTGTTTTTAACAGCTTTTTGGCCATATTTCCGCCACCTATAGCCATCTTCAAGATGATCGACTTCGCTTTTAGTCATGAAGGCAAAGCGAGGTTGTCTCATCCGCCTGCCCCTTCTTCTTCCCTTTGCATCTGGAAATAAACAACACATTTACATTGTTTAGTTTCATTAATATGGCTATGTATTTTTTAAAGCTCAAATTAATTAACATCATGTCAGGTAATAACATAATTATTTACTTCTTAATTTGCAGAGAAATCCATTTCAAGGAGGTTAAAAGCTTTGAAAGCATTCACAACCACTTTTTGAAAGCTACACTTATTAATGGAAAGAAAGATAGGTCCCCGGCCTTAATTATCACCATTGCTTCCGTGGAGAAGTTAACTACTCGTTCTTAAGTCTCATTGTATATTTTAAAATGTGATTATCATTGTTCACATTTGAGTTAATTATACTAGACTAAAACAACAAAAACAACAACAACAAAGTTGGAAACGACAATAATAGAGTCTGTGTACACAGATCTTACCTTTATTCGAAAGTAAAGAAGTTAGTTCTCAGAGTTTATTAAACTAGACTAGACAAATTAATGAACAAGGGTCCTAGTGAAAAAATTGGAAGTTCGTGAATAAACTTTGTGAATAAGATGTTAGAATATAAAAATCTTTCCTGGGCTACAACCACAATGTTTAAGAGGCTACGGGTTCAAAACTCAGCACTATTCATTTTTAAAAAACTTAAAGTTTCACGTTTAAGACGTGAAAAGACTATGCCTGCACATGAGAGAATGTGTTAGAATATAAAAATCTTTTTTGGACCACAATTTGAACTTTTAATTAAATTTGTTCCCTTAACAAGTTGAAAGAAAATACGAGTACAAAAATTGACCGAGTGAGTATATGCATGCATGTGTTCAAATTAAAGTTGAAACAAAACCCAAAAACCCTATATATACACAGAGAGAGAGAGAGAGAGATCCCATTAATATTCTCTGCAACACAAAGGCTAAGCAACCCACAAAATGATGCCTCATAGGGAAATTTCTGAAAATGAAGCATTTATTGCCACCATTAATTACCACCCCACCTATATATAGGAGTATGTAGATATATAGAGAAAGTGGATAGAAACGTACTAGCTAGTTTCAACAACCTTCATTTGCTATGCCATGGCTTTCTAAGCTAGCTAGCCAATTCGTATAATATGCATAAGCTTTCAACACAAGCAACATGCACCTACATACATACAACATATATATAGACTACGTAGTTTCAATCTCTCAAACTATACAAAGCTAGCTATAAATCTAACCCCCCCCCCCCCCACGATGTCCTTCATTCCATCAAGCTTCCTCCATTCTAAAAAAGAAGTTCCTGATTTGACTAGGTGTAATAATAAGGAAGTGTTAAATTGTAGTTAATTTCCAATTTTGTCATTGATGTGATTGTCAAAAGTAAGATGTAATGGATAGATTATTAAAGGAAAAGTATAATATGATAGATATGGTATGAAAAAGTAAGGGTAGAAGTGGTTTTTTAATAGAATGTGGAAGTATTTTATTGGAAGTAGAAAAAATGAAAGAAGAAGTGTTTTGGAGAACGGAGGGAGTATTGGACTTTTCTTACTATGGATTTTGCAAAGAGAAAAAAACTCTCCTTTCTAGTTTTAATTTTTTGCAGTCAAAATTAATAAATTTTAACCATGAATTAAATAAAATTAATTTGATTAGATTCATCTTGTAAAATAGTTTTTAAATATTATTTTATAAATTAATATACTCTATAATTTAATTAATTTTATTTAACTATAGCTCAAAGGTTGATACTGGTTGTCTTCAAAAAATCAGAAGTGGACAATCAGTCTAAGACGGAGGAAGTAACTAATAACAATGCTCCTTCGGTCCCGCAAAAAAAACAAAAAAAATCATTTTAAGGGAATGAGTAAAGCCTCAAAATTGTTTTCAGAAGAAAAAAATGAAAGAGAAAATATTTTTGTATGGACGAAGAGTCATATATGGAATGAAAGTGTATAAAGTTTACCGACACCACACTCAGCTCCGAGGTACGCCATAGATAGATGATAGATCACCATTAAAATAAAAGAATCTAAGGACAATTCACTACCGAAAACCCCACTTGGGACTTTATATAAATCACTGAGAATATACTTCCGAAGTTCTTACGTCCTTTCCTATATTAGAAAATAATGTTGATGCAAAAACCAATGAACATTAATGAAAGAGCAAATCAAAATTATACGGAATAAAAGAGTGGCAGTTACGTTCTACTTTGACTCAAAGGTTGTCCGACCCTCCTTTTCATTCTCAAATGGCATTGGTATGTGTAGCATTTGTAAGGCTAAGACCTTATTTGTGAATACGGAGCACTATTTTAATCAGCGTTAGCATTTTCTATAAAAGAATTATGGTGTTGAATAATTTTCAAAATGTTACCGCTAAATACTATTGAAAGTATTGCAAAAAAAAAATCTTCTCCCGTCGCAAAAAGATATTCCTGTTTCGATTTTTATGAAATTTAAGGAAGTGATATTTTTATGTTAACTTTCCTCCGTCGCAAAAAGATATTCTTTGATGTGATGTGAAGATTATTAGTAAAAAGCTGTGATGTGATAGGTAGTTTAAGAATTAATATGACTAAAAGTGGTTTTTTAATAGAAATGAGAAAGATTTTGTAAGAAATGTAAAAAAAAAAAGAAAAGAAAAAAAATTTTTGGAACGGAGGGAGTATGTATGAGACACAAAATTATTTAGTAAAATGAAAAGTAAAATATTTTTTTAGACTAGTTTTTGCTAATCGGAGCTATTTTTTTTAAAACAAATACGAAATATTTTTTCTTAAAATTAAGAACCTACTTGGAAATAGTGTTAGAGATTAGAGTTAGCGTTTTGAAAAAATCATATACAAGTAATTTTTAGCACTACCATTCTCGAAATAATCTACATCATTAAAATTTTATCTATAACGCTAATGGTAATTTCTAACGTTACTCTCAAATAGACCTAAGTAAATAGAAATTACTTTTTGAACTGAAAAAAAAAAAGAGAAAATGTTTTTATGGGATGTTATTGGAGTAGATTATACTCCGTATGTGAAAACGTGAGACAAAATTTGAGAGGAGTCCAAATTTAATTCTACGTAAAAAAGGGATTCACCCAGTTTTTTACCCCCCAAAAATCTGTACCCAAAAAGGTACAGTACCCCATATGCAGCACGCCATTCCCGCCGCAATAACGGCTGCGCGTAAACCACGCAAAATCCGAAATGCCGAAAAAGCCCACGCCTTTTCGCCAAATGGCGATACCAGTCCCCTTCCCCTCTTTCCCCAACTTACGTGAACGAGGCTTGACATTGGCGATCGGAGAGACTGTACGGAAGCGGAATGCATCAATTAATCGGCCTCCGATCGCTTCTAATTTTGATTTGTTTGAATGTTTAGAAGGCAGAGAATTGATTCGAGATCGCACACTCACGCTGATTCTGCAGGCGGCCGCGATCTCGATCCACCGGATGCGGTGGACTTCTCCGGCGCGTCGTCATCGGAGCTCGACGACGTCTGCTCTGCCGCACGAACCGCTGCCGGTTCCGATCCGCCCCCGCTCGGCGCTGCATTCGCCGCTGCCGGACCCTCCTGGACGGGGAACCTGTCGCTGCAGCAGTTTCCCGCAAAATCAGATCCGATCCTGCCGTGATCCGCCTGGAAACTCCAGCCGAAGTCGCCGAGTACGTTGCTGTCGTCGTCCTTCCCGACGCCGCCGAAGAAGTAAGCGCCGTCGGAATCGCAGCCTCCTCCGAGCGCTGCCCAGCTCGAATCGTCGGTTGTGAACTCGTCGACGATTTCGTCCTTTTGTTCGTCCATGTCGGGGAAGGAAATTATGAGGAAGTTAGGGTTTATGAACAGGGAGAGAGATGGAGATAGAGAGGGGGGGGGGGGGGGA